TCTCCAACCCGATGCACACAGGACTTTTTACACGCGTTATCTACCACAGACGCAATTACACCCCTTTTAACCATCTCCGAGTGACAGCTGTCAGCCACCGACAAGGGTTTTGCCAATTTGGCGGCTGACAGCTGTCACTTGAAGAGGGATGCTTACTATCCTTTTGCCATAGCCCACCAAACTTTCTTGTCTTAAATAAAATATACTCAATCAAATCATGATGGCGGGCAAGTGCGCGTGTAAAAAAGAGAAAAAAAAATGTACGGCCCTGCGGGGCAGTGGATGGAGGGAGGTGATGGAATTGTATTTAGAACCTCCCTTGTGGAATCCCCGGAAACGGGGCCTCAAGATATAAAAATGCCTATTCCATGGGCGGAGAAACAGCAACTCGCGAGGATATTCACGGGTCAAAGTGTGGCTCACCAATAAGTTTAACCCCCCCCCCCCCTCCCCCTACTCCCACAAGATCAGAAGGAAACTGATTGAGAATATAGCTTGCGTTTTGGCAGCCTTGTGCCACCATGCGTACACTGGACTGACTATCCGTAAAAATTATAGCGCACCAGGATCATTAACCACCTAACCTTGCTACAAGGCACCGGCGTCTTCAAGAATACTTCTAAGGTGTCCATTTCCAGGTGCTTTCTTCACGGATGTGGACGCACATGAAGAAACATGATAAGTCACTTCATAAATAAAATTCTCTGTAGTCACAAATACAAAAAAGCTGCTACGTTTGTTTTATTCTGGTTCTTCACTTAAATGTTTTTTGTTTTTTGCTTCGTTTATTGGTGTCTGGAATCTCCCGGTCGGTGCCTTCAGAGCGCTGTGGAGGCTATGAGCCAATGGCCCGACTAAAAAAAAAAAAGAAATAACGCAAGAATTTTGTGTTGGGAGGTAAGTAAAGTACTACTTTAAGTAGGTATATAGAACTTGGTCTTTACTTGAAGTACATCTTTTGAGTGTGTACTTGTACTTAAAGTATTTTTCTCTCTTATACTTCCCGAGAAAAGTACAAATCCCGACTACAAAACACATTTCCCAAGTTTCGTGAAACCCTTCTGTTATATTAGCCGGGTACACATCTTTTCCACAATGACGCAGCCATCCTGAATGTTTTCACTTCTGGTATGCGGTAAAACATCGTTTTGATCCCTCCACGCCGCTAGAATTTGTTCACAAAAAATGCGTGATTGTCAGACGTCCTTGTTTTGCCTCACCAATATTTTCTCGCATATTCCAGGTTGAAATGTTGTATTATCTTTTCGTCCCGCATACCAGATACAGAACCCACGTCACTGAGAAGGAGAGGAAACAGAAAACATCGATAAAGTGACGGCTCCGTATAGACACAATGCAGGGTTGGGCAGAAATACTCAAAAATGTATTTGGAAATACATATATTGGAATACATTGAAATAGTAGCTAAAATACTGATACTAAAATATGTCTGTAAAAACGTATCGCGATACTTATCGGAAAGGCATTTTAAATAGAGGCAAAAAGTATTTCAAAATACAAATAGGGGAATACATTTTAGGGAGGGCAGAAATACAAATACAGAAATACTGATACTGCAATACATTTTTCAAATTTGTTTGAGACCCCAACTGAGTTGAAGCTTGGAGTGGAAGTTTTTCATCCCAAAATTACTTTCCCATAGGCTTGGCATTTTGCCTTGGAGGTAGTGGTTTCGGACGACGGGCTCAATAGGCTCAATAAAACGTTCCCTGAAATCCTGTCTGTCTGACGAGGGATGCGAAAAGACTTTGACCTCTAAATAAATTCTACGTCACCCTCATAAATCTCATCAAAACGTCACCAAGCCCCTGTCCAATAAGGACGCCCCTGTCATTATTGATCACATGACGTCACGGTGGAATGAACTGGTATTCTTTATCTGTAGGTGGGGCCTTGATCATGAAACTTTACCACGCTGCTGTATGAAAGGACAATACGTACTTTCGTTGTACGTTACCTCGTTGAAGACCGTGCTGGCAGCGTCATTTGGAATTTTCGAGAATAGTGGACCACCTAAAGCATCCTGGAACACATGTCTTATCTACTGTTACGGTTAAAAAAACGATAGGGTGGCAGCCCTGTTGTGAAGACTCTTTCTGCCGGCCCTCCGCCACCGACACATGAATTGCAGTCCTTAAGTTTCGCCTAGCATCATCCAAACAGAAACCTCGAGGATTGCGACCCGATATTGCCGGCACAGGTGCGAGTTCTCTGAAAAACGGCGCTCTCGAGACGAGTCACAGGTGCACAAAGTCTGGGATCGGCCCAGCGAGGCCACGTCCGGCTTCCTTCCTGGGTTTCGGATCATCAGAGCAGCGGGTCACGTTCATGTAGGCTGATTACATACCCTTGAGCAGTGCAATATTACGGGTGCAGCCGCAGACACATTCGGATATGTGTTGCTTGAACATCACTGCGTGAGTCATCCTACTATTTCAAGTCAACCACTGCCAGGCTCGTGATGTAACGGACTGTGACTCAGCTTTGCCGGCTGAGTGTACTGTGTACGCTAAGGCGAGATAGACGGTTAGCAGCAGATGCCAGCAAACCATGACTCAAAAAATCCCTCCCTAAGGACCTGCGGCAGAAGATGCTCTGACTCTACTCCCGGCACGCCAGCTGGTTCGAGTCCCCGATTACACAACATTTCTCAGAAGAGAGAAGAGGACGCATGGAAAAATAGTTTTGAGAATGGAAAGGAACCTTGGTCAGCATAGTAGCAATGCCCCAGCATCTCCTTGACCCTGGTGCCCTCAGAAGTAAAAAAAAAAAAAAAATGCGTTCGGACTTCTGTTTTTTTTTTTTTCGTGGGGGGGGGGGGGGGGGGGGATTATTTTTCAAGAAATGTAACGCAATACATTTCATCCTGACTGTGTCGCAATACAAAGAAACACTCCAAACGTATATCGATACAGGAATACAGATACTGGTAAAAGAAATGTATCGCGATACAGAAATACAGATACGAAATGTATTTCTAAAATACTATCGCGATACTGCCCAACCCTGACACAATGCCTGCCCGATCAGGGCACGAAAAAGTGCCTTTTGGGACAGGCTGAGATTACTGTTGTTTTCGGCATCCACTGCCCAATATTTTAATGGGAAAGCATTAACTGGTCCCATGGAGGGAACCGGCGTTATCAGCTATTGAAGCCGCGCTAAACGGCCCATCATCTCCCCTGTCCCGACGGAGCAAAGCCTGCCTGTAACAGCGATCTGATGGATAGGCTCCCATTGGCTGGCGCACATCATATATTTTCATAGAACGGTGCTCCCATTGGCTCTCGCGCGGCGTAGTTCCAAGGAACGCCACCAGAAAAGCCCTCTCCATGGCGGTGCAGCGGCCCGGCTGCCGGCGGTAAGAGGGAGCGGCTGGCCGCCGAGCCAGCAGAGCACGCACGGGCAGACTCCAGAGTGGCTGCACGGCCAAAGCTCACTTTACGAAAGCGCGCGCTGGGCCGTCGGCCGCAACCTTGGCATTAGCGAAACGGGGCCGTCCACACCAGTACGCCGCAAACAAAAGGAGCGGAAGAACGACATTCATGCGTTTGCATTCCTAACTCGGCAAGTGCTTAGGTGTCCTCGGAATTCTTTTTTTTTTTTTGTTGACACGCGGATTTATGTTTTGTCACCACATCGGTAGACAGAGCAACTGAGTGCACGCAGGAGTGAGCTTCCACAGAAGCGGTCTATTTTGTCGTTCTCAGAAGGTAACAACTGTACTTCATATGTTGCGTAAAGCGCCGAGAAAGGCACAAGGACGAGCGCATTGATCTGGACAGTGCTTTCTTGAGCTCGGTAAAATTAAGCTCTTTCAAAGACCACGCGCTTGAGTCCTTGGCTTACGTCTGAGGTCGAGTAAGACCCCCCCCCCCCCCCCCCCAAAAAAAAAAAAAAAAAAAGTCGTACGGCGTCATGTGAAAACCTGCTATCTTCTTTTAAGACGTCACCCGGTCATTTCTCGGAGTGAATGAATGACGGCTAAGAACGAAACAAATCAAGTGCCTTATCCATGGTTTGCACCTGAAGTCTCCAGCTCTCCGGCCACCACCAGAGAAGAGGAGGAACTCCCCTCACACCGGGGCTCTCTTTCGTGTCCCAGACTTCTTCATTCTTCCTCTACAAGATTCGTACAAAAGCAGCTTCCACGTCTCTCTCCTCCGTGGTGCTGCGAAATAAATGGGATGTCAGTGCAAAGCGTGTACGATTGTGTTAAATAGTTCGTCAGCAAGAGTAAAACTGCTATGCAACAACTTCACTTTATTCAAAACTCGTCGAAAGTTACAAAATTGTTTGATGCACCCCCGATTACCCCTGGAGCAATGCGTACGTAAAACAAAAACAAAACGCTATATAGGAAAATGAAAGGGCAACACGAAAGATTGTGTTAAAAAAGTACTCGTACTTTACTTTGCAAGTGCATTGTATTTACAGTACTTTGCTTGAAGTACAAATCTCTTATTTACTCTGCACTTGAAGTACTTTTTAAATATACTTTACCCAACACTGCCACAATCACAACGCCACGGCTCTCAGCATCTTTCTTTGGTGTCGTTCTTTGCGGCTAATCCAATCACTCAGAAAGTGCACCGTGCTAGTGCACCTTGTGCAACTGTGTTCGCGTCTTTTAGTCTTCGACTGCCCGCCAGACGTTACACGTTTAGCTACCCTGGTGGACCAAACGACTTAGACAAAAGTTTTGTCTTCTAGGTAATTTGGTCCACCAGGATAGCTGGCAAACAAAACCTCAAAAATTTTAGCCATCCAATCGCCCCCCCCCCCCCCCCCCCTTTTCCCCAAACGTCGTGATCCACACAGCGCATCCTAGGTGCGACGCTGGCACTCTGAGGCGTCTCTTTTTGAGTTTGTGTTTGCCGCTTGAGGTCGGGCATCCACCAACGATGAGGTCGCGTGCAGGCCGTGCCTCCAGGATGGTATTGGGCCGACCCACAGGGACGGAAGAGGCAAACTCCCCCTTTGTGGAACCTATACTTTATTGGTAGTCTCTCTCTACAAACGCCGTGGCACACTAAGCGGCCGGCCACTTCCACTGATCCGGTGGAGGCTTCGCCACCAGGGGCTCCCACGCTTTCCAGGTGGCCATTCGCCTGGCCAGGACCAGCTCGTTTTCCGCCTGAAAGACACAAGGATGTCGCCATCACACACTGCCACTACTACAGTCACTGACGGGATGAGAACGACGATGCTTCGGCGTCTCGTATACACCTCGAGCGCGCAGCCGAAGCACAGCACAAGGCCGTAATGTGGACGGCCGTTCGAAAGACAGGTCCTGACGCTCTAGTTCTGTCGGTCACTACACCACTACTGCTACTCATAATACTAATTACAAAGCTTATTCGAGATACGCGTAACACAAATGATGTTCCGGCCCGGAAAAGCGCAGTTGTGCTTGTGGGCGGGACCCGGCATCCGGAGGAGGCGATGAATAGTTGCCAGTGCGACAACTAAAAAACGCACAAAATATAAGAATACCAGAAAACTATTCAATATGGTTACCAATCTACACAAAAATACCGTTTTTAAATTTCGTTTGTCCTTGCGGGCAACCAGTGTCAGTTAGAGGCCCTATTTTGCTGTGTGGCTTCAAGGATAGATCTGTAACACGACTTTTGTTTGGGCTAATTGGTTCTTACTAGACATGATTAAAATAGCGCAAACTTGACAAGGGCAACAAAGAAGGCACACGTGCAACAGGACTGCTTTTACAAAACGTTTTACGCTGAAAAAGCTTTACCGTAAACAAAACAAAAATAAAACACGTTTTCACCAGGTTTCTTATTGAAGACGAAAGACTTGCTTTTGTGAACCGACTAGCTTAAAGCGGAAATAGAAATCGGAAATTTCAAAATTGTATTTAGGATTGCAACAAGGGTCAAATGCTAACCAATACCAGCAAAATAAGCACGCTTATATCGGAAGTTCCAAGTTCTGATCACATAAATATGTTTTAGGCAAAGGAAAAGTATTTTTATTAAAAACGAAGTCACACCGAAATTAGTAGGGAAAAAACCCTAATGTTCCTCAAACTTCACAACAACAACAAAAAAAGATTTTTTTTTTTTTTTAACAACTCGAAAACAAGGATTGAAGCCTACATGTATGAACAATTGTGAAATTTTCACCACATGTTTTCCAACCTGGTTTTATGACTGTGTTAAGACCGCCAGGTGCAGTAAATGTCTGATCTGCTCGGGCAAGCTGGTAAGCGAACCCGCAGAGGTAACTTTGTGTTCCGGCCAATAGGTGGAAACAATTTTGCAGAAGTCGGAAATTAAGGGGGGGGGGGGGGGGGGGGGGATTGTTGTAAGGCTCAAACTCTTTCCTCCTTGACAATCAACCAAAATACAAAAGGGAAAGGAGATTCGCACAGCCCCCTGCACATGTAGCGACCAAGGAAGAATGACACTGCGCTAACACAAGGCTGGTCTGCACCTGTCCACTCCCTTCATGCTTTGCACTCGAGAACCCCTCTACAGCCCCTATTCTAATGAGGCATGATCACGAGGTAGAGGTTTAGAAATTCACTCGATCCTTGACCACAAAACCAACCGAACATAAATGAAAAATACTCAGATGTTTGCTTACAACTTGGTGGCTGCCTCAATGAGAAGCACCCCACTCGGACTCTCAGTAATCTCGACAGCTGACAAAGGTGGCTAATGGAATCATATTTTTAAATTCACCCTCGTTAACGGTGACGTTTATTGTAGATAATGAATGGAAAAAAAAAAAAGAGGCCAGAACATGCGTACTTTGGGCATCCATCGGCATATGTACATACAGGGTGTGTCAATTTAACTCCCAAACTGGCAACGCTGCGCTCTCAACGACCGTTCCATTGCTTGGACTGTTGACCACGTGTGCAAAGGCTGATCATGTGCGAACCTGTTTCTATCCTGTGAGACATTTCATATGGCTCTTAGCATTTAAAAAAAAATTGACCTTACAAGCAACACCTACCGAAGCGCTGCTCGTCAAGTCGTTTCTGACCAAGGAGAGGACATCCTCTCTACTTTCCAGATCTCATCCCTGCTGATTGTCGTGCTCCTCCTCACGATGAAGATGGCCCTGAATTGATTTCGCTTAATGACTAACTACTGCAACGTTCCTACAATTAAATAATACCCGATCCCCCGCTCCTCTCGGACGTGGACAGAAAGAAAACCCACGAGTGCTAGTTCACCCGTAGGGACCACGTCACCTGGATTCAGCCAACGACGAAGATAGCAGCTGCTCTTTTGACCAACTAAAATACACTAGGAATAAAGAGCCTTTTTTCCTTTCTCTGTCAAATAGTATGGCATTCCTGGCATGGTTTAGGAAAGACAAAACAACCATCAACCGTATAAAAAAGAAAAAAATAAGAAATATAATTAAAAGGACATTTGATTTCTGCCCCCCTCAAAATCTTGTGTTTAACTGCGACTGTTACCAAATAGTCGCTGCGTACGTAGTCCGTCGCTGCCTTATGCCAAAACGGAAGCCTAAAATTGGATCACGAGCTGTCCGTCGAGTGCCCTTTACGATCCGCCTCGTCACGCTTTTCCCGTCGGCGAGATCACCTTGGTGCCGGACAAAGGCCGAGCGTAAAACGAGAAAGGTCGTCTGCGGGGCGCCCCCCCAAGATATTGCGTCTGGACGTCCCGCGGTGACTGCAACAGATTACGGCGGGTCTGTCCGTCAGGTACCAAAGGGTGGACTCAAGGAGACCCGATAGCATTCTGTGTTGACACTCAAACAGAAGGGCTGTGAGGCAACTACGGAGTAAATACTGGACGATGATGTCACTTGGCGAGCGCAGTCATCGGCTTCCGGCGAATCTTGTCTTTCGCTTGCATTTCCCAAACATTCTAATCGTTGTTTGCGGTAAGTCGTAGAAAGGATAAAAATGTGAATTGATCTGGTTAATGAAACCAGTTGGTTGTGGTGCATCTTTTCTTTTCCTTTCTCTTTGTAACTCCCCCCCCCCCCCCCCCCAAAAAAAAAGGAAAACGGAAAAGACATACAAGGAGTAACTTTTACTTGAATTATTTTATAATAATAAATACATAAAAAAGACTACGTGCTTGTAGAGCAGACTGAAGGTGTGATAATCAAATAAAATTATTCGTGCTCAGGTTTTTTGGTGTACTACGTAATAAGTGCACATGGGAATCAGCCTCTATCGTTGAGGACAGTCTCACAGAACAAAACCAAAATATATTTTGTAACAATTTCAATTTGATTAAAATCGGTGAAACGAGGATGAATCGCAATTCAAAGTGACACGGACAAGAGGTTCTCTGTGGCGGTTTATGTTAGCTGCTTTTATTTTCTTCAGTCTCGGGCTCATCCGCACTTATTATTTTTTTTTTTTTTTCAATTCGTTTATACGGATGTAGGGGTTCAACAAGTACGCAATTTTTCTACGTAGTCTCCTCCCTTTTAGATGCACTTGGTCCACAAGCTTGCGTATTCCCTTCAAGAAAAAGGATTTTGGTTGGTCGCCCAACTATTTAGAGGGACCAGGTCTCCCACACTGACAGGCCGACCTGGTCCCTCTTCGTGCATCACGCTTGTCCGGCCACTTTTAATCTCATCGATCCCCTCACACAAATCTACGTGGTAGAGCATCGCCCCACAATGTGTCATAAGCCTCCGAAAAATTTCAGCTCCTGGCACACTTTCCGACCGGAGAAATCGGATTATTGCTCCTTGCACAACCTTGGTGCACACTGCCAGCGGAGCGGCTATGTTTACAACGAAACGGAAGCAAGGAAAGTGACGCTATCAAGGTCAAACTTCGATAGCGTGACCACAGTAGTACCAAATCTAAGCATGCATGCGTGGAAGGCAGTGTGCAAACCTCAAAAAAGTGTTATGGCGAAAGAGCGAATAATTATTTCCTCGCCCTAGTACATGGTAGCATTCCAACGCCAGTACAATCATGTCATTCGAGATAGGGCAATTGTTGGTGCTGCGAGTAGCTCGCACGTGTTATATGCTAAATATGTGCTTCATTCACACATGCTGCACCAATTACACCCAGAACACGATTATAAAAAAAAAGATAAGGGTATTTTGATGTTGAACGTAAGTCTCGGAGTAGAAAACAAGTGAAAGATATTGAAACTTGTATACTTCAGATTGCCTCCTCCAAGATAGAATCCATATTATTTTAATTGAAAAAAATAAAATATAAAAGTAATAACTAGGGCTCGATGTTCTCGAGTTTCCTTCTTCTTTTTCCACCGATTTGGTGTTCGGCGTCTATTCTCAGTGTCAGACAAAAAATGTTAGCCGTTTATCGGGGCCCATGCCGACGAGAACACAGGACACGACCGCAGGATGCCCCAACCTCCAGAAAATATGCGTGTGACCCTCTTGGAAAAAGTGCCGGCACCGATAAGAAAAGGAAGCAGAGTAAGGTATTTCCCAAAGGGACCAGCAGCCTAGCCAACAGTTAAGCGTGGGCTGTGTTCTCCGCAAAAACAATATAAAGCTGTAAATAGATTTTTTTTTTTCCCAAGAAGCTTCGTTTTTTTTTATTAACCTTTAATAGGGAAGCGCGCCTGTAGATGCGCCTCTATTTTGACCTTGGAATTGGGAGCGCGTCCACAGTGTTCTAGAAGTGAGAGTAGTGGCAAAGCGAGTCCAACGCCAATGGGAGGAGTTTTCTCCTCCAAATGGAGTAGAAAACGGCTGCATCGGCTACTTCCGCTCGCGTTAGCAACCATCGGGTGCTCTTAGTGGACACCGCTTGTCCAAAATAATGGTTGTGCTGATCACTCCCAAGCATTAACTGCTGAAGTGATGGCAGTTTATGTTGCCACTGGGCTGCATTTCTTTTATTAAACTCAATCGTTCCAGACTACTAAAGAATGAAGCGGCAAAATATCTGAAGCTCGATCAGTCGATCCGCGTACCTTTTTCGCCCAGTTTTGTCATCAGAAGTATCTGTTACTTTCAGTACCTTTAGCAAATTCTACTTTTGCTATTGTGCCACGCCTTCTTCAGTACCTTCAGCAAATTCCACTTTTGTAATTGTGCCATGCCTTCTGTGCTGTGAAACTAATCGTATAATTTCCCTATATGATTCTATGTGAACCTCCTTACTGTGTTTTATGTGTATGT